TACCATAGGCATACCATAATGTTAATTATTATATGTAGAACAATACCATTATGGTGAATCCCAATCAGGGAATCCAAAAATTGTACTATGGAAAAATATCACATATATACAATGCAGCAAGCACAATAGGCGTCAAGAAGAGAACAACAAGCCTCAGGCCTGTATGGGGGGAGACATAAATGTCAAATATATGATGCAATTCATTCCTGTGCCGGCACAAGTGGTTGGGGCCCATTCATCTGTAAAATAAACAGCTGTATCCTAGAGCTCTTGAATGAAATAATGCCCCATTTATTCCCAGGGTGGAAGAAAAGATGCAAAAAGCAGCACTCTGCTAGAAATGGTATCTTCACCACTATATGTGGACTACACACCACCTTTCGTAGGGAAAACAGGACATATCCCAAAAGATCTTCTGCCCGTAGATATATATGGTATATCCTGTATCCTATACAAAGCACCATGATGTCCCCATCCTGTAGTGAGATAAATGATATGTGGGAAGTCACTGACAGAGTATACACTCAATAAGATATATAGGTCATATAGATCACAGAGGACCATATATCTAATGTCCTGTAACAGTCCACTCACCACCTGTGCTGTGGGTATTAGGAATGAAAAAGGTGTCCTTCATGGGTACTGCCATACACGGCCACAGAGGCCTAGGAACCACCGCTGACATCCGCCGATATACCGCGGGTTCCAGCCCCTTCTTGGCGCTTGTGCTTAGTGACTCTAGGGACCCTGATGTACGAAGGGGGGGGGGAATCTGGGGATCCTGATGTTAGGGGGGTTACCTTGGGGTCCCTGATGTTAGGAAGTTGTCTCTGAGAATCCTGAGGTGGGTGGTTTGGGTGACCCTAATGTAAGGGGGGATGACCCTGGGTACACTGATATAAGGTGGGGTCTTGGGACCCTGAGGTAAGGCTAAGGAACCTCTGAAACCCTGGTGTAAGGGGGAAAGTCTTTAAGGACCCTGATGTTGGGGAGTGATTTTGGGGACCTTGATGTATGGGGGAGGGCTCTGATGCAGAGGGGAAACTCTAGGGACTATTTTTGAGGGGGAAATCTGATGGGGATTCTTGATGTAAGGGAGGAATTTGCTGTGAACAGGTGGCCTCATCCTGATGCTGCACTGATGCTGAACTAGATTGTTTTGCCCTTACATACTCCTGACCCCTGCACTCTATACTTATTGCTGTACATAGACCTGACCAAAGTGTTCATTGTTCTAACAGTTGCTGGTTTTAATGAAGTTCTTCTTTAAGTTGGGCTCCGTCACAAAAAATTATGATGTACTCAGAAAAAAGCATATGTTATGGAAACATTTTTAAAAATTATAATTTGTATTGTAATGTGTGTCTGTGAGACTGTCACTTGTGACATAGTGAGTAGTATTTTGTGGGTACAAGGACTGTGCTATATGTGTGCAGTGTATACAGAAACCTAGGCACAGATTCTGTTTAATATTCCCCCTTTAAGCTCCTTCCATTGCTAAGCAAAATCTGTCCTCTGCCCTATTGCCCCCTGTACACTGCCCTACAAACTGCTAACCTCATCCTCTGCCCTACTGACTTCCGATATACTGCCCTGCTAACCTCCCATCCTCTGCCCCCCTGACATTTTTTACTGCATCACCACATTAAACAGGCTAGATCCGGCCCTGCAGCAGATGTTAAAAGACCTTAGCCTCCTCAAAAAATAGATGTGGCTTTGGCCCTTCCTATAGAGCACCTCAGTGTTCTTGCTCACAGTCTTACAAATGCATATACTGTGGTCTTCCTGTTAGGTAGTCTACAATCCATGACACAAGGGAAACATAAACCTGTATTGCTGCTAGCTTCTAGCCCAAGAGATCTGGCCTGATAATATCAAAAGTACTGGAGATATAAAAAACATGACCCTTGGCTTATCCAGGTCTGCATACATGCAATTTAGCATGAAGATGATAGCGCCCCCAACTCCCAGTCTTGGCTGGTAGGTAAACTGCAAAGGGTCTAAATATTTACTAACCAAGGGCTGTAACTGATGTAAAATAAGCCTCTCCAATGTGGGAGGTCAAAGTCACTGGTCTGTAATCCTTGGAGCCACAAGGATGTGGCATCATTGGCACAGGAACAAGACAAAACATCTTCCACAACACAGAGACCTTTCGTAGACTCAGGCACAGGTTAAACACCCATTGAAGGACACCCCCAGCTGGTCTGCAAATGCCCGAAGTTCCCTGGGCCTGCTGATTTTCCTGCCATGAGTCTCGTCAACTGTTTAGTCACCTAATCAGCTCTAAATACATTGATGCACTTTCGCATGATGGAGAAGAAGAGTTGATCATATAAAAAGAACTGGAGAAAATATCCAATATTGGGGAAACAGAATGCACACTAAAGATGGAAGGACGTCTAGTATGAGGAGTAGAGGGTACTTGCCTCAACTCTGCTTTCCTACAACGTTGTGTTAAATCTAAGGGAGTCAAAGCCAGGGTCTCCGAATCAAATCTATTAAAAAAATGGTTCAGTTAATTTGCCCTCTTCACATCTTCCCCAGTCCCTCCACCAAATGGCTTGAAAACTGTAATGTTATCATGTCACTCCAGACCTCTCTCACATTGTTTTGCTGGAGTTTCCATTCCAACTTTCTTCTATATTTCTCCTTTGCCTCTCTAATTTTCATCCTCAGGTCCCTCTGAATAATCTTTAATTCCTCCCTATTACCTACTCTAAAAGCCATCTTTTGGAATTAAGAATATCTTTAATGTCCCTTGTTTTCCATGGTTTATCATTTAAATAACAATGAACAATCCTTGTTGGGACAATATAATCTACACAGAAATTAATATAATGTGTTATGCACTCAGTAAGCTCATCAATGTCCCTTCCACGTGGCCACGAAACACATTCCAATACATCCTCAAAACAGCCCCACAATAACTGAACCATCTTTTCACAGATTTGGTGGTCACAGCTTGGGGCACATAACAAGGATTGAGGTAGACCAAATTATGATCTGATCTGCCCAAAGGTAGAAGAGTGGAATAGCTATATGCATTCTTTACATTGGCATGCAGTAGATCCAGAGTCTTACTCTGTAAACCAGTGCTGCGCAATATAAATTACACAATTTATACCATATGTGCAATCCTCATAATAAAGTGCCTGTGCAATTTCCCATATGACTCCTAAAAACGTGCATATAAACATCACAGTGCATGCATAGACAATGTGTTCATCTTGTGACATAGAAGTCCCATATAACAGAGTTCTTATATAATATATAAATTCTTCTTATAAGGTTGCTCAATTCTTGTAGATATTTGTGCAGCTTCCTGCTGTGTGTAAAATCACCCTTCTGTGTTTCTCCTCCACCAACACACATATGTACTCTCCTCCTTATTTTGACCTATAAATGTTTAGGTCAAACAGCGCCTTTCCCTTTTAACCTGGGTAGATATAATTCTTTTATTGCTCCACTCTCCTCCACACTCTAATCCAGAATGATCTTCCTATTTCTTATCCAGCATATCCTCCAAAAATGCAGAAAAAACGCCCATCATAGTGTATCACTTTTATCAATAAACATTTATTAAAAGATTAAGTGCACTCACATAAAAAGTGCCCAACTGGGACACTACAGCTGAATAGCTTCCACAATATCACATCCAGCATTCTATGGTGACTCACAAGCTTGCCAGCTCACAAGCTTCAGGTTGTGTGGCTTGACGACATCGGCCCACCCTACGCGTTACGTCACTTCACATGACTTCATCAGGAGATGGCCATTGGATGTTCTGCTCATTTATACTGAACTCCATGATTATTCTCAAAGTATCTACCGACAATAATGAAACGAGCGCCATTTTCCCGTAGCCCAACATCCTTACATAGTACAATAGTGCAGCGAGCGCCATTTTACTATAGCCCACAATAATGTGCAATTAATATTTCCAGTGTTTGCTAGTTCATCTTGTGAAAACCAATACATAAAAATATAAAATATAATATACCAGTATTATAACTATACCCCCCTACAGTAGAGAAGCTAATACAATTATTACGCAAGTAAATGATATAATATATAAAATAAAATAAATTAATTAAATTAAATGTACATATATTCTGGTGTGTTTTTAAAGCCATCTATGTAATAGATATATGTAAACTCTACAGATCCAGTCTTAGGCTGGCCATACATTATACAATTTTCTTACAATTGTCTGTCCAATTTCTGCCACCAAATTTCCTTTAGATTTACCTTCAACTATGTAGCACAAGTGCCCGCCTAATTGGATACAACTGAAAATGTTGTTTAGATTTGACCTCATATTATATGGTTTTTGGTAGATCTAAAGCAAAATTGTATAATGTATGGCCAACCTTATTCTCTCTAGTTGGGCAGCTTATAAACTGTGTGAAGTTAGTGAATGTTTTCTCCATGATGACATGATTAAAATCACCTGAGATTATGATAAGGGCATTGGGATGTTCAGTTTAAAGTTTTACAATAACATTGTGTATGGCATCACTTGCCAACGTTGGGTTGGCAGAAGGTGGAATATATACTGCCACAACAATAACATGTGGAATCTCCCTAGGCAAGTAATAAGGCTGAAGCCCTACTACCATTATTTCTATATCTGGGCAGCAGGCACTTTTCTTAATATTCAAGTGACCAGGGTTTCACCGTCTATTGCTTGCAAAGATAACAAGCCCCCCTCCCTTCCTCTTACCGCTCATTGTGCAGCCCCTGCCTGCTCTAATAATCTGGAAAAAACTTACGGTAACATTGTGATTGGGAATATCCCTGTGCTGCCATGTTTCTGGAAAACATATGATGCTACACTCACAAAATTCATGTTGACTCTGAACTAACACCATTAGCTCATCTACCTAATTCACCAAAGATCCCACTTCTCCCATGATAATGGGAGGAATATTTGGATTAAATCTCCTACTCTTTCACCGTACCTCTGTCTTCTGCTGTGGTGAATGGGAGCATTACTCCTGCTGTGCACCTGATACTGAAAAGGATAATCCTTGCTTCAATGAAATTGAGTACTGAGCAGGGACGGACTGACAACTCATGGGGCCCCCCGGGCAAAAGGGGATCATGGGGCCCCTGTGTCCTTGCCCAAACTCAAAAAAGCCTATGAAAAAGGTACCAGGGGCATCTCAAGGGGCCCCCTACTGGCCCCGGGCCCTCGGGCAGTGCCACGAGTTTCCAAATGGTGAGTCCGCCTCTGGTACTGAGGATCTTGTTGAAAATATAACTAACTTTACTAACCAGTGGGGGGACCCAACTTCTGTTGATGTATGTTCAGTGAAAGAGATGGGGACTGCTGCTGTTGAATTAAATTAGGCTGCACAGGCTTGCTAGAAGGGGACATGGACAGATAAATCAGATAACGATCGTAAAACTGAGAAGCAATTTGCTGTTGAGTAAGTAACTGCTGCTTTAAGCCATGTACACACAATGAAAATGTCGGACAAATGATTGTCCATTTTTTTGCTTACTAGTCTCCATATAAATAAAGAGGTTACTAAAGTTACGAAAATTCTTGTATGACAGAATAAAAATGCGGATGTGATCTAATGTATTGTATTGTATTTTTGGGTGAAAACTGTACTGATTAAACAAAAATCGTATGATCTAATATCATACAAGAAAAATTTTCACACTTGTCCCTTCGAATAACTGTGTACTAAACTGATCAGATTATCGTACGATCGCTTCGAAAGCAGTATTCTTTGTACGATTTTCTGATCATGTGTACTAGGCTTAAGTCTAGGTTCACACCTAAGCATTTTGCGGTGCGTTTTGTATTTTGCAGAAACGCACTACAGTCCATTTAACATGATTTCCTATGGGACATGTTCACATCTTCGCATTTTCACCCGGTGTGTTTTTTTTGGAAACAGTCAGGGACTTTTTTAAACACAAAATGTTGAGATTTTGTTCGATTGACACCAAGGGAGATGCTGCATAAATGCATGTAGCACATTTTTTATGTGTTTTTGATGCATTTTGCATTTTAATCTGCCCAGCAACAAAAAAAGCAAAATTCATCAAAAACGCATGTGCAAAAACAAAAAAAGCACTGCAGAAACAGATTAAACGCAAACTGGATAGGTGTGAATCTAGCCTAAGGGTGAAATTGTGCTGGAAGGACACTAAGACAAAGAAGTCAGATATTGGCTATCAGCCTGCAGGACTAATTGTTGCTCAGAATATTGAGACTGTTTTGGTATTTGCTGCTACCGAGGGTGAAGGCCCTGCTTGTTGTCATATGAAAACTGGCTCAGTTGAGAATAAGACCCTGAGCTATATTGCCCATGAGAAAACTACTGTGAAATTACTGTGAACAGCCATGGCTAGTGTTCAAATATGGAAAAAAATGGACCTTTTTCATTGTTTCTGAGCACTGCATTGATGATGGCTAACAAGCCTAAACAGTTGTATGCAGTTTGGAATAAATGGTTCTGCACTGTTATGCTCTATCTGTGCCAGAAAGTTTGGATGGACAGAATGGTGATCAAAGGTCAGAAATACATGACTTGCATAGCTCTACTTACTGTGACAAAATGAGTAAAAATGTTTATTTTGGGAATGTGGCAGGGATCGGGATTTAGTAAGCATTAGGGGGACTATGAGGGGAGCTGCACACTGAGAACCTTCAGCCTTTAGAACCACTTTAACCACCTCCCGCCCGGCATATAGTACAATGACGGACTCAAGGTGGTTCTCTCGTTCTGGGAGGACGTCATATGATGTCCTCCCATTCTAACTGCACATGCGTGGCTCCGGGAGCGCGCAGAGCGGCGAGCGGCGGTGCGCCGTGTCCCTCGGACACAGCGGATCACCGGTCAGCGGAAAGAGCCAAAGATGTCGGCTCTGTCATGTGATCAGCTGTGTCCAATCACAGCTGATCGAATGTAAATAGGCAAATGCCGGTTATCGGCATTTCTCTCCACACGAGCTGTCACGCTGACAGCTCGTGAGGAGAGGAGAGCCGGTAATCGGCATTCCTCAGAGGGGACATGTACACTGATCATCAGGGCACTGATGATCAGTGTGCCCTGATGATCTGTGTAGCCCCAGCAGTGCCACCTGTCAGTGTCCATCAGTGCCACATCAATGCCACATTTCAGTGCCTACCAGTGCACATCAATGCCACATATCAGTGCCCATCTAAGCTGCCTTCATTGTTACCTATCAGTGCCAGTCAGTGCCACCTATCAGTGCCAGTCAGTGCCGCCCATCAGTGCCACCCAGGGGTGGACTGACCATTTGGAAATTCGGGCACTGCCCGAGGGCCCGGGGTCAGTAGGGGGCCCCATGAGATGCCCCTGGTACCTTTTTCATAGGCTTTTTGAGTTTGGGCAAGGACACAGGGGCCCCATGATCTGCTATTGCCCGGGGGGGCCCATGAGCTGTCAGTCCGCCCCTGGTGCTGCCTATCAGTGTGCATCAGTGCCGCCTGTCAGTGCCCGTCAGTGCTGCCTATCAGTGTCCATCAGTGCAGCCTATCAGTGCCCATCCCTGCAGCCTCATTAGCACACATCAGTGAAAGAGAAAAATCACTTATTTACAAACTTTTATAACAAAAACTAAGAAAAAAAAAAAAAACTTTTTTTTTTTTTCAAAATTTTCAGTGTTTTTTGGTTTGTTTAAGAAAAATAACCCCAGAGATGATTAAATACCACTAAAATAAAGCTCTATCTGTCACAAAAAATGATAAAAATGTCATATGGGTACAGTGTTGCATGACCGTGCAATTGTCATTCAAAGTGCAACAGCGCTGAAAGCTGGAAATTGGCCTGGGCAGGAAGGGGGTATACATGCCCTGTAGGCTAGTGGTTAGGAAGGCTCTGTTGTATTTTGCACTGGTTCAGTAGAAGACTTTTTGGTTCATTTTGAACCAGTCAGGTTATTGTTGGTCCCCAAGCCTTACTCCATAGAAGCATGGTTTCCATACACTGCACTGATGATGACTAACAAATAGAACTGTATGTAATTTGAAATAAATGCCACTATAATAATAGACTGTATGTGTGATTTAACCAGCCATTTGGCATGTACAGATGTTCAAGGGGCAGAGAGGAATATTTTGCAATAAATCTCCTGTTTTGGGATTTATGATGGAATCACCCACATACAATGCCCTTTTACCACCTCTACACTGGAGATTGGACAACAGTTTACACCTTCAGTCATGTAAATCAAAGGTTTGTCACTTATTGCAGACCTTTTGGCACCATGGGATATTAGAACAGGATGTTTCCATAGACATTCACCCTCCCCATGCTGTTCATGGACATTCAACATTGCCTTGACCCATTCAATGGTGAGTGAATTAAGGTGACTGAGTTACGCGTGTGGCTATAAATGCTGGGGTATATTCCTGACACTTATCTGAACTAAAGAAGCAGGCTGGCTGGGTAAGCTAAAAAAAATCTCTGCAACTTAGAACAAGTCTGGTTGAATGTGAATCACTACTACTAGCTGTTCAACAAAACGTGTAGATACCTTTTATTTCTAAAAGTCTTCTTTGTTCCTTCTGGCCCAATCCACCATAACCTGTCGGGTTCTATCTTTGTGTTGCTACTCACGCCCTACTCAATAGGAGCCATTTTATCCATGTACTGCATTGGTGATGGCCAACAAGCCTGAAACAGGTTATAACTTTTCAACATTTCTCACACAAATACTTCAACATGTGCATCAGAGAACAATATCTACAATGTGGAATATTCTACTTTACCCTCATTACAATATCACATTTTTCAGAAAAGAGAGTTTTGCTCTAAAAAAAAGCAGCAAGTCCCAGCATATTAGGTGATCCAGCACAGTTGGGAGGCCTTAAGATGCTAAACTATACTTGTCATCTGTTATTTTATTTATGGAGCAAAGAGAAGAGTACGACCTGCAATAACCTATAGCAGTCAATCAGCAATCAACTTTTATTGTTCTGACAGCCCCATAATGATGGGAAGGAGTATACTGTTTTCGGCTCTTCACATTTCATCAATGCTCTTTGCACTCTGCTATAATTTTATGTCTTTCCATATATCTGTCAGGAATCGACATAGTTACTGTTCAGAGGGAGACTTACCGAGTATAAGCAGCCATAATTGTACTGGAAACTTCTGATCCATCTTTGTTCTCCTGGATCCTTTATATTGCGATTCTCTTTTCCCAGCGATGATCAGTGTTCTTATTGCCTAGATGGTAACAACACCCACATTTGTGCCACTGTGCTTTTTGTATACATCTCTTGTGTTTGTTTTGTTAATGCCTTACACTGCTGTGCACTCCGATGTCTCTGTTCTACAATGCTGTGCACTCCGATGTCTCTGTTCTACAATGCTGTGCACTCCGATGTCTCTGTTCTACAATGCTGTGCACTCCGATGTCTCTGTTCTACAATGCAGTGCCCCCTGATGTCTCTGTTCTACAATGCAGTGCCCCCTGATGTCTCTGTTCTACAATGCTGTGTACTCTGATGTCTCTGCTTTACAGTGCTCTGCACTCTGATATCTCTGTTCTGCAATGCTGGGCTCTCTTTTGTCTCTGTTCTACAATGCTGTGCACTCTAATATATCTGTTCTGCAATGCTGACTGCTCTGATGTCTCTGTTCTACAATGCTGTGCACTCTGATGTCTCTGTTCTACAGTGTCGTGTACTCTGATGGTTCTGTTATACAATGCGGTGTACTCTGATATCTCTGCTCTAAAGTGTTGTGTACTCTGATTTCTCTGTTCTGCAATGCTGTGTACTCTGATGTCTCTGTTATACAATGCTGTGCACTCTGATGTCTCTGTTATACAATGTGGTGTACTCTGATGTCTCTGCTGTACAGTGCTGTGTACTCTGATTTCTCTGTTCTGCAATACTGTGCACTCTGATGTCTCTGTTATACAGGGCTGTGTACTCTGATGTCTCTGTTATACAATGTGGTGTACTCTGATGTCTCTGTTATACAAAGCGGTGTACTCTGATGTCTCTGTTCTACAGTGCTGTGCACTCTGATGTCTCTGTTATACAATGCTGTGTACTCTGATTTCTCTGTTC